TCGTGTTGGAATTGGTGTTCAAAAAGATGAAATTAAGGCTTTTTATTATTATAATTTATGTGATCAGAATGAACATGCTCCTGGTATTGAAAGGTTAGGTGATTGTTATATACAAGGTATTGGTACTTCTGTTGATAAAAGAAGGGCTTTTGAATTATACTTGAAAGCTGCCAATATGAATTATAATGTTGCGCAATATAATGTTGCCACTTGTTTTGAAGATGGCATTGGAACAACAAAAAATAAAGAAAAAGCTAATGAGTGGTATAAAAAATCTGCTGATAATGGTTTTGATAAAGCCATTAAAAGGTTAGAAAAACCGTCTGAAATTTCTCTTTTGGAATATGGAGAAAAGAAAATCGGTAAGTCCAATATATTCTGTTTGTATAATTAAATAACTATGGACTAATATTTTCTAAACAAACGACACGTGGAATAAAAGGAGGTTCATTAATTAGCCAGTAAATAATACAACGGTGGAAATTGAATAATGGTTTATTTTTAGATGGATCTAGCATACAATCAAGTAAAAGGGCTGTTTTTGTTGATGTTGGAGATTTGGATATAAATTTATATCAAGGAGGACCTATAGTTTATATTAATATAAACGATTCTGATAGTCCTACGAATTCACTTGATTTTGAAAATCATAACGGGATTTATGATAATTTAAAGTCATCGGATTTGTGCATCAATTTTCCGGTCGTTGAAATCACTTATAGAGCCGATCCAGTAAAATCATTTTCAAAATTTACGAGAGATTTAGGAAAGTTACACGACCTTTATGGTCATTTTATTGCGAATAAATTTTTGGTCGGTGGACAATTATTTATCAAAAATTTCAATTTAACAACTTCGACACAAAAGGATATTTTAAAATTTTATTTAGTTTGGATATATAAATCAGCCAAAAATAATAATGAATTTCCGTTCGATAATAGTCCTTTTGACTTGGATTTTTTACCAAGAATAGAAACATCAGACGGTGTAACGTTAGATACTCTTAAAAAGTTGGTGAATTGGATGAGGCAATTATATCAGGATAATGTAATAGATATTATTTCTTATATTAATCTTATTTCTGTATCTCAATTAAAAAGCGGGAAATTAACAGAAGATTTTGAGAATAACAAACATACTGGAATTGCTAACTTTAGAGAGGAAGTAAATTTCGAAAAGTGGGTTGGAAATACGGAATATGTTAAATTAGCAAAGTGGATCAAAGATTTTCACCTATTTCAAGGTCTTGCAATCAATAAATCATATAAAATAGAAAGTAGTAAGAAATTTGCCATTAAATTTATGGAAGTTCCTGAAGTAAATTTAAGAGACGAATCTTATTTTGAGATAATAAATCCAACATCAAAATTGGAGGAAATTTTCATATTCAATAAGATTTCCTCAGTTAAAAATTCTAGAACTTTTCCGTTTATTAAACTTGATGATTTTAATAATATGAATTTTATTCATTTAGTAGTTAAATATGAAAAATATGAAATTCTAATAAATAGGGATTATATAGAACCTTCAGAAGAGTTTAATAACGCAATCGAAAAAGCATTTAATGAAATGAAACCATTTAATGCTTTACAAGCTGTATTTGATGAATATGGACATTTATTCCCATTAAGAATTATCTTGGGGAAATCTCTTAAAAACATGTCAACCACAAATTTTTTTGATACTTTTAAAAAGATAAATTTAGAATTACCAATAACATCCTTACACTCATATTTAAATAAATTGAATATTTCATATCTCACAACACAAAAAGGCTATATTATTGAAGATAATTATGATGATTGGTTTCAAAAATCAAATAATGATTTAGAAATAATTGAATATGATGAGATAATTTCTTTGTACGATATTCTTGAATCAGAACAAAAAAAGAATATAGATTGTATATTAAGTAATAACTTGAAAATTATCATGACCGGAATAAATGATTTAAAGAATTTGGATAAAGATAATGTCCAACACTTTAAGCGAATAAATATAGATTTGTCGTTGGAAGATGAAAATTATGAAGTATTTGGGTCAATTATTACAAAAAACAATTTAATGTCGAAAGATTTTTTGGTAAAATTTAGGTTATTCGATGTTAATGGATTTTCTTCAATTATAAAACCTTTAAATAATTCAAAGGTGGATATCAGAAAATGTTTCATTTTATGGATAATTATTGGAAATCCCTTGAAATTATCGGTTTTTAGTCCAAATAATCGAAAAATTCGAGTTGAACGTATTGAAAAATCTATTTCAATAAAAGCCGATAATTCATTCTATCGCATTAAAACGCTTCCTTTATCCAAAGGGAACACCATTCTTATTAATGCATATTATCCATCTACCAATTATGAGCCCGTTAGTATTATTAAGTTAGTTAATTGGGAAGATGAAGCTATTAACGTTCAATTAACCTATGATGAATCAAGTTTGGATAGTTCAAAAGTTCTACTTAGTGGAGATAAAAATTCTTTAACAAATATCGATACTTCTACTAATATAGACTTACATATCTGTATCCTGCATTCAGATTATGGAAGTTTAAAGATTGATAATCATGAAAAAGAACGTGATTTGAACTTATTTGGGTATGTTTTAACAAGAGAAAATTTGGATGAGAAATTTCATGAAGTTGACAAATTTGGTAATATTAAAGATATCATTGAACAGCCTTTCATAAATGATGATGTTCAGCAGTTCTATCAAGAAGGGTTGAGAAAAAATGTAATTGAATTTAATTCAACTTCTTAACTAGCGGATTAATCAAAAATTAAAAAGATTTAATATTAAATTATACGGTTATCCGCAAATTCAATGTATTATTTACATTAGTGTATGCATTTTTATTTTTGTAACGTTAATTTAAATAAAATTGTTACACCAATTAATTTTTTTAAAATTTAATATTGAAATAGCACAAACTGATGAACGCGTCTCTTTCAATAAATTATAAAACAATTTTTTGATAATTAGCCTTTATATTACTTATAATGCGATCATGTAACATATCCTATCATTCAAAATATCACGCTATTAAAGATGCTCGCCAAAACTCCCTCAAAATAATTTCGTCATACCCCCCCTCTTTACTATGTTTTTAATATAGTTTCGGTCAATTTCGGGTTTCGTCGTACCACTCACTATGATTTATTAATTGCTTTTTTTGGGTTCGTCCCTCATCTTTACAATTTGAAAATTGTACATAATAATTATCTTTTATTTTATATTTCGAATTTAATTACCTCCCCATTAAAATTTGTGATTGTATAGAGGTGTGACTTTATATAATCACCTTTATATCATAAATTCAGATAGTATAATAAAGCAAATAAAATTCGATTTTATTATAAATTTATAATATTTAAAAGTTCATACAATTATCATTTTTCTAATATCTACTTGCTAAAAAAATCAGTTATTGAAACTATTGCACTATATTAAGATATTTTTTAAAAAATTTAATTGCATCAAATGTACTGATTCTACTTTAAAATCCTCTTCAAAATCATTAATTTTCATTATCATATGGGTTGTGATTGTGATCTAAAAAAATCAGATTCTGGAAAATTTTGACTAAAATTAATATCTTATTACATATTGATCTAAATGTAATAAAAATTAAATGCAATTAAAATCTTAATTTTAATAAAAAATTCTCAGAATATGATTCTTATTTCCTCTTAAACTATTTTATAAAAATTTATCACTTAAAAGATTATTATTTGGAATTTTTTCTTCTAAATATTAAAAGAAATTATTAATTGTATTTTGTAATAGAAAAGCATCAATGTTATCAAAATTTGTCAATTATTTGATTGATTTTTACTGCTTCTGTATCAAATGAATCACTTATATTATCTATATATTCATTAGTAAAAGAAGGCAATATTCCATTTTAATTTTATTCCAATAAATTACAAATTTTTTTAAATTATATTATAATATCAAATCAAGCTGATATACAAGTATTAATAGCTGCTAGTGTTCTGCAAAAAATCTGATTCAATCCGAATCTGATCTGGATCCAACAGATCAGATCGAATTGAATTTATCAGATTCTAATCAGATTCAGATCTGGGTTTTGATTTGATTCGATCCGTCAAATCCAGATCAGATTCAGATTTGAATTTGATTCAATCTGACGGATTTGGATTTGAATTCAGATTCGATCTGTCAGATTTGGATTTGGATTCAGATCTGATTTGTTGGATTTGAAATAAAAAATGCTACCCCGAAGTCAGACGCGGTATTTATTATTAAAAAAAATTTAATATTTAATAATAAAATGCCGCCTAAAAGTCAGACGCAGCATTTATTAATAAAAAAATTAATTTTTATTAATTTTTTATATAAAAATGCCGCCCCGAAAGTCAGACATGGCATTTATTATTAAAAAAATTAATTTTTAATAATAAAATGCCGATCTGAACGTCAGAAGCAGATATTTGTTAAAAAACAAATTGTTATTTTTTAACATAAAAATGCCGATCTGAACGTCAGAGGCAGATTTTCGTTAAAAAAACAAAATTGTTGTTTTTTAACATTAAAATGCCGATCTGAACGTTGAAGGCGGATTTTTGTTAAAAAAAACAACAAAATTGTGGTTTTTAACTAAAGATAGGAACTGTAATTAATATGTTGCAATTTTTAATATTGCAACTTACGTTGCAATTAGTTTTAACCTATATATGTTGCAACTTATAATATTGCAACATATGTTGCAACTAATTTTAGCTTATGTTATAACATTTTGTAAATTTAAAATCAATTGCTGTACCATCTTTATTTTTAACATTAAAACGCTATTCCAAACATCAGAGGCGGGATTTTTGTTAAAAAACAACAAAATTGTTATTTTTTAATATTAAAAACGTTGTTCTGAATGTCAAAGGCAGATTTTTGTTAAAAAAATTTTTTGATCTATCAGATATGGATACATATTCAGATTTGTCAGATTCGGATATGGATTTGGATTCAGATTTTTCAGATTCAAATCGAATCAGATTCAGATTTTTCAGATACAGATCGAATCAGATTTTGCCTAAATTTGATCTGATCTGATCTGTGCAGAACACTAATAGCTGCATTACAAAATAACCTCAATGTATTCGCTCTACAAGGTTAACCTACTACTAATAACAGATTGGCAAATTTAAATATGTAGCTTCAAGCTAATGTAAATGCTCTAAATATAAATCAATCACAATGAAAAACACGTATTACTAAACTATCCTATTTTTATAAAAAAAATCAAGACCTAATAAGCTGAATAGTAGAATTTACATGTGCTTATAATGTAAATGGTATTATAGCTAATTTTATAATTCGTGGAACACTAATAAATTGCGATTGAATGTGACTGAAAATATTTTATAATAAAATTACTATAAAATATTATGACTGAATGTGACTGAAAAATTATTAATGGTTCATGAATTATGAAATTAGCTGTAACAATCCCAAAAAATAAAGGTAGTCTCAGCATATTTGAAAAATCCTACATCTACTTGGTGAATAATGAATCAGGCTTTTCCAAATAACAATGCAAATCATATTGTAGTATGTACTGATAATAATAATAATACTGATTTTACTCAAAACTTTCCAGTATCATTTAGATTACAAACTTTAGTAGAAAGATGGATCATTGAACTAGAGAAGAAAAAACAGCAACTAGTTGAAGTAATCAACAATTATGCTAATACTTTATTAGAATTATATACCAGATTTGAAATCCCTGCTTTCCAATATCTTGATCTAATGAAAGCTTAACGACTTGTTAGTAGTTTATTACCTGAGCTTTATCTATTAGTTAATTCTTTTAATAATCAAATTTGGAATGTAGCATTGGATAGGGCCAAACAATATGAATTAGCATACAAAGATATAACTGCTATTAAAGCGTACATGAATAAGTATGCATTGTCTATTGCAATGCCAAATTAATTTAATAATTTAAATAATGCTATTGCTACTTTAACCCAACAAGTACAACAACTTAATGTTAAAAATACTACTAGAAGAAATAATTAAAGATTTATAACAGATCAGCAAAAGAACTTTCAAAATAATAATATGTCAGTAAATAATTTAAATAAAGGAAACATCACTTATTACAGTTGTAAACAATCAGGTTATATAAAAGAAACTGTCCACTTAATCCAGTAATACCAAACATAACCAACAATATAGCAGCATTTAATGCTTTACTAGTCGCCAATAATCTACCACCAGTAAATAATATAGTCAATACCTATTACCTAACAACAACACTTTTTAAAATAATAATATGCTATTTAATAATGTTCCTAATTTACAGGCTCTATAATTATTAGCACAAATGATAGGACAAGAAGATACTGATAACAATTAATCTTTAAACTAGAAAATATACTACTGAAGGTTGATGGTACAGAACCTTTTACAATTTACTTGAATCTTCTTTAACAGAAACATATGCAAACAAACTAGATAAAAATCAGGACAATGAAGATTTTATTAGAAAAAGAGAGACTAAACAGAAAGTTAAGACTGTAAAATAAATGAACAAATCAAAAGAAAAGAAAAAGCTTCCTTCTGTTCTTCTAGTAGTTAATATTGTAGATCCTTATACACCTCAACAGTTTTGTGATCAACTTGTATATATATCGATAGGACAACTATTAGCAGAAAACCAAAAATCAATAATGAATATATTGAGATGGTTAAGAAAACCAATAGCAAGAAAAATTAATAAAGGAAAAGAACCTGAAGATACAGGTTCCTTAAGACCAACAGCTCCTCTTAATAAAGAAGCAATAGATACTGAAGAAAGAAATAATTATAAACCTGATGGTAATAACAACTATGGTGAAAATGAGTCATACACTCTTAACACATCCAGCAAAAATGATCTAAAATCTAACTGTTAAGCACACATAAAGAAAAAGAAAGTCTCCTTAATAGTTAACTCTGGATCCTGTGAATGCATTATATCGCTCAAATTATTAAATAAACAAAGCATCCAAAAACAATCATGGTAAATATTAACGGAGAAAGAAGATGACCTCTTGAAATAGTCACTAAAGTATCTTTAAGATAATAGAATCAATCATCATATTTGACACTTTAGTAATTAAAACTGATTCCTATGATGCTATCGTAGAAAATGATTGGTTGAAAAAGATCGATACAAAAATAAGTTATAGAAATAAAACCATGACATTATATTGGAAAATAAAGTGCTTGCAGTTCCAATTGAAAGTCATGTATTTCCAAAGGTTAGAATAGAAGTAGTAGAAAATAATGATAGTAAAGAAGAGTATGAAACTAAGAAATATGAGAAAAATATCAGATCTTTGTAAACTTTATTAGGAAATTCTATACAAACTTCACTTTTAAGGTTTTCTAATTCTTTAAAGATTTCTGGTTCCAGTTCTTCAGAACTTTTAGATTCTAATCTCTCTTCATAGCTTCTTATTAAAATTTCTGAAAGTAAATTACTTTGTGTACTTTCGATACTATTAAACAATGTTTCAATTTCATCTTTCATCTAAAATTTATTATTATCTGTTAATTGAAGCAAAATACTTTTGATTATGAATTTAATAAAAACTTATATTAAAATCATTTTTATTATTGATATTTGGCATTATATCTTCCATAAAATTTATTTTGTTATTGCTATCTTATTCATCGAAACCAGAATCAAACTCTATTTCTGCTTTTTTAAAGCATAATTAAACATGTTGACTATATATAGAATATAGATTGAATGTTCTTCACAAAAGAGCATTTGAAATTCATATTGCTTGATATATATAATTATTAAAAATTTGATAAAAAATTTAATGGTTCACAATTATTAAAGCATCAATTTAGGTACATTATATATAAAGAGATAAATTTATCTACTATAGTGGTATCTTAACGATCATTTTTATTATTGCAAATAAAAATTGCGACTCTTCGCTGCATCAGAATCTGCCGCTATTATTTTTGGTAAATTGCAGCTGTTTGCTGTATCAGAATCTGTCACATTTTTGATTTATTTAATGATCGTTCAAATTGTTGCAAATGAAATTATTATCATAGAGAATCCACTGCATTTTTGGGTTATTTGACAATTATTCTTTGTAATTGCAAATGTAAAATTGCGGTTGTCCATTTTTGGTTTATTTAATGATCATTCCTTATTATTATGAATGAAATTATGACTGTCTGTTGCATCTGAATCCATCTCTTTTTGATTTATTTAATAATTGTTTTAATTATTACAAACGTAAATTGCCATTATAATAAAATCTATCACATCTTTGATTTATTTGACAATTGTTCTTTGTGGTTATAAAATTGCAAAGCTGTTTACTGCAATAGATCCACTGCTATTTTGGTAAATTGCTTTTATTCGCTGTATAGAATCTGCTACATTTTTTGATTTATTTAATGATCGTTCTAATTGTTATAATGAAATTGCCATCGTAGCAAAATTCACTGCATTTTTAGGTTATTTGACAATTATTCTTTGTGGTTGTGAATGTAAAATTGTGATTGTCTATTTTTGGTTTATTTAATGATTATTTCTAAAGATAGCACAGTAATTAAAAAGTTGCAACACAATAAGTTACAACTTGAGTTACAACTTCTTGTAAATTTATTTTAATATAAAAATTTATAAATAGTTGCAACTCAAAGAGTTGTAACTTAAGTTGCAACTAGTTAAAAATTTTAAAAATAATTATGAAACCATCTTTAATTGTTTCTTATTACTGCGAAGTTGTCTACTGCAATGGAATCCACTACTAACTTTGGTAAATTACTACTGTTCATTGCATCAGAATCTGCTACATTTTGATTTATTTAATGATCGTTCTAATTGTTACGAATGAAATTGCTATCATAGCAGAATTTGCAACATTTTTGGGTTATTTGACAATTGTTCTTTGTGGTTGCGAATGTAAAATTACAGTTGTCTATTTTTGGTTTATTTGATGATTATTTCTTATTATTGTGAATGAAAATTGCAGTTGTCCATTTTTGGTTTATTTGATGATCATTTTTATTATTTCAAATGAAAATTATGATTATCCGCTATATCAGAATCTGCTATATTTTTGATTTATTTAATGATCGTTCTAATCGTACAAATGTAAATTGCTATCATAATCGAATCTACTGCATTTTTGGATTATTTGATAATTGTTCTTTGTGGTTGCAAATATAAAATTACAGTTATTCATTATTGATTTCATCAGGAGATCAAATCAGGTAATTGTTATCAAAAATACTCAGAATTATATAATACCCGATAAATTTATATACTAAAAAATGCTTTTATATTTAGTTTTGAAGATCTCTGACAATTATTACCTAAAAAGAATACTTCATATGTAAAGTTTATCAAAGCTTATCAAATACATGTAATAACTGGTAATATATATTTTAAAAAATATATAAACACGTGACTGCAATGATCAGTGGTTTAAATATAATTTATTTGATCGCATATTTTTCATTTATTACTTTCTTATTAAAATTTTTATAATTTGTTAAAAAATATATCTGTTTACCAGAAACTGGTTTTTCTTATGAAATTTCGGTATAATATGAACAGTTCGCATTATGGAATTTAACGATACTACATTATAATCCTTTAATATTGATAGCTGAGAACATCCATAAATTTCTGATGCCTCGTGATCCCTTTGGTTTAGCTCACAATAATTATACTATTTTATTATTGCGAAAGCAATGTTAGCAAATAATTCTCCTAATAGCAATACCTGGTTATAGAAATACAAAATATTCTATAATAAGAATAAAAAATTTAATTACAATAATAACAATAAATCAATTCATTTGCTAACCTTCCCAAAACACGTTCCTTGATCTGTAATATAATTAGTAGCTTCTTCTGTATCCATTACAACAGAAATATTGCTAAACTATAAAGCATTATTATAAGATGGATCAGCACGTATAATATCTATTGATTGTAGTATTGCATTTTGTATAATCGCACAAAACTTTCATTTATATTAAGAAATGTTATAGACGTGTTGTCCAGAAAAGTGTTTAGTGATGTGAGTAAATTTTCAATTCCTTTAAGTTGCAATGAGTCTATTGTTTTATTTGTCGAAAAACTTGCAAATGCTCTTCCAATGATAATAAGTATATATAGTATTTTGCACAGATCAGATCAGATCAGATTTGGGCAAAATCTGATTCAGTCTGAATTTGAAAAATCCAAATCTGATTTGATCTGAATCTGACAAATCTGAATATGTATCTGTATCTGATGAATCAAAAAATTTTTTTAACAAAAATCCACCTCTGCTGTTCAGAACAACATTTTAATGTTAAAAAAACAACAATTTTGTTGTTTTTTTAACAAAAATCCGACTCTGACGTTTGGAACAGCATTTTAATGTTAAAAAAATAATAAAATTATTGTTTCTTTAACAAAAATCTGACTCCGACGCAGTGTATAAAATCTAAGTTAAAATTCATGTGCACAAGTTGATTAATTATTACTAAAATAAGAAAATCATAACATTTTCTTATGTAAAATTACCTTTTTTGTATATAATTTATCTATTTTTAGTAATAATTTGTGCACATTTTATGTTGTGTAATATGTGCACACAAAAAATTAATGTGCATATGTGCACATTGTGCACATAGATTTTACACACTGCTCTGACGTTCAGAACGGCGTTTTAATGTTAAAAAAACAACAAAATTGTTATTTTTTTAACAAAAATCTGCCTCCAACGTTTAGAATGGCGTTTTAATGTTAAAAAACAACAAAATTGTTGTTTTTTTAACAAAAATCTGCTTCCGATATTTGGAACGACGTATTAATGTTAAAAAATAACAAAATTTTTGTTTTTTAATAAAAATCCGCATCTGACGTTCGGAACAGCATTTTAATGTTAAAAAAAACAACAATTTTATTTTTTTAACAAAAAATCCGCCTCTGACGTTCAGAACGGCATTTTAATATAAAAAATTAATAAAAATTAATTGTTTTATTAATAAATGTCACATCTGACTTTCAGGCGGAATTTTTTTATTAAACATTAATTTATTTAATAATAAATGCTGCGTCTGACTTTTGGGGTGGCATTTTATTATTAAAATTTAATAAAAATCAATTTTTTTATTAGTAAATATTGCATCTGACTTTCAGGGCAGCATTTAATTATTAAAATTTAATTTTTTTAATAATAAATGCTGTGTCTAACTTTTGGGCAGCATTTTAATATAATAAATCAATAAAAATCAATTTTTTATTAATAAATGCTACATCTGTTTTTCGTGGTAGCATTTTTATATAAAAAATTAATAAAAATTAAATTTTTTATTAATAAATGCTACGTCTGATTTTTGGGGCGGCATTTTTATATAAAAAATTATTAAAAATTAAATCTTTTATTAATAAATGCCGCATCTGTCTTTTGGGGCGGCATTTTTATATAAAAAATTAATAAAAATTAATTTTTTATTAATAAATGCCGCATCTAACTTTCGGGGCAGCATTTTATTATTAAACATTAATTTTTTTAATAATAAATACCGCCTCTGACTTTCGGAATGACATTTTGTTATTAAAAATTAATTTTTTAATAATAAATGCTGTGTCTGACTTTTGGGCAACTTTTTATTATTAAAAGTTAAATTTTTTAATAATAAATACTGTGTCTGACTTTCGGGTGGCATTTTATTATTAAAAATTAAATTTTTTTAATAATAAATGTCACGTCCGACTTCAGGGTTGCATTTTTTATTTCAAATTCAACAAATTGGATCTGAATCCAAATCCAAATCCGACGGATTGAATTTGAATCCAAATCTGAATCTGTTAGATTGAATCAAATTCAAATTCAAATCTGATCCAGATCCGACAGATCGAATCAAATCAAAATCTGGATCTGAATCTGATTCGAATCTGATAAATCCGATTTGATCTGATCCATCAGATCCAGATCAGATTTAGATTGAATCAGATTTTTTGCGGAACACTAATTATATATCTTAAAGTTTTTCTGACAATAATCTACCTTTGCTTATTCTATTATGACTCACAGTTTCTGTTAACATTTTTTGCCGAACCTGAAAGTTAAGTAATTTATTAACTGTCTATAGTTATAGAGTTTTTGATCAGAAACTTAAAAAAATACATTACTTTATTTAGGATTTGATCCATAACTTCCATCTTATTACTTTTTCAATAAGGATTCTTGACATAAAATTTATGTAAGGTCTCATAAGTTTCAGTTGTGAATCCATTGTTTGCTCTGAATCGATGAATAGCAGGAATAATATGATATCTTCAAGAGTGTAATTTTGGCAAACGCAACTCATTTGGACTAAATCGGGAAAATATATTTATGAATTCATGACTTCATGTTATAATTAAATCCTACAAAGATAAATATACTATTTAATAAAATCATATTATTCATAAAAAAATATTTCATCATCATTTACCTCAAATTCGTCTAGATCATCTTCTGAAAATTCCTCCTTACGGCTTATTATATATATGCAAATGAAAGAAAGAAATACACAAGTTAGTCAAACTAAAGATATATATAAATGATTGCTATTATGATTTCGTTTTCTAATACGTGAATCCTTGTCATCAAATAAACCGTCAAGTATCGAGATTATTACTTTCATTATCATTCGATACTCATTGACTGTTTTTACAGTAGTAATACCATTATTGAAGATTTTAACTCAGTAAATTTTGGAATTGCCACTAACCTATTATAGTGATTAGAATCAAAACTGCGAAAATTGCCAAAATCAAAAATCGAAACTAAAATCGATTAAAATTTTCAAAACTCAGTTAAAATCGTTTAATTGTAACGATTTTAAATCGATTTTTATTTAATCCGATTAATCGGCAAAAATCGATTACACAAAATAAATAAAAATAGATCTTATTCTAATCAAACGAAATATTCTTCGGGTATATAGAAAATATGTAGTGTATAGTTGACACTGTATGTATTGTATGGTAATATATAGTAATCATGCATGTATAATATGTGTGGAATGCCTACAACTAATGAATGGAAAGTTATTAAAGGACTTACTGAATTATTAAGTCCTTTTGAAATAGCTACACGACTTTAAAGTGGATAACAATATCCTACTCTTAGTCTGATTTATCCAACTATGCTATTTTTAAAAAATCTACTTTTAACAGATTTTAATCATTTCAAATCTAGTGAAGCAAAACTTGTAAGAGATAAGATCCAAGAGGATTTGTCGATTATCCAGAAAATATAAAAATATATGCAGTATTTTATGATCTGCGTTTCAAAGATTTATATTTTATTGATCAAGTTGATCATATATGCATTTATTTTTTTAAAAAATTAAAATATTTAGACTTTATTTATTTATTTATTTATTTTATTTAAGTATACAAAAGACCAATTTATTGAAGAACTACGTGTTGAATAACAAATTTCTACAGCATCTTCTGATATAGAACAATCTTCAACACTGACAACTTTAGGTTCTTCTGTTATGAGCATTTTATTTGTAAAAAAAGAATAATACAGTTCAAACAGTTGAGAAGGATGAATTTACAAAATGCCTTAATGAAGAAACTTTGCCTGTACTTGAACAATATGATCCTTTTGAATGGTGGAGAGTTAATGAAATTCATTATCCGCGATTAACAAAACTTGCACAAAAATATCTTTCCATACCTGCAACTTCGGTACCATCAGAACGCCTTTTTTTCGGATGCTGGAAACCTAATCACAATCGATTCAGTCCATGTGTTGTCAATCAAATAATGTTTCTGAAACGAAATAAGAAATTTATGAATATATTGCATTAACATTTTAATTCATTTTGTTGAATACTTAGTTTTTTTTTATTTTAATCAATAAAGATTATGATATTAACTTGCTTAAAAGTAAAGATTATTTTTGCATTATTAAATTTAATAAAATAATTTAAAAAAAAATCTTCCGATTTGCCGATTATCTGATTTTCCAAGCTGAAACTGTTAATCGCTTTCAATAACCGATTAATCATTTGAAAAATCGATTTTTACCCTTTTGATTTTCGATTTCGGTTTTTAGAATCGATTCCGATCCCTATCATCATGGCCAAAAGAAGCAAAAGGGGGTTGTCCAGATGAAATCTCCCACATGAGCATACCAATACTATAAATATCTGATGCAAAAGTATATCCTTTTCCATTAATAACTTCAGGCGCTATATAAGGAAGATTTCCATATATACTTCCTAATGGTTTATCAGCAGGTCCACAAAATCCAAAATCACTAACATACCATTCTCCACTATATTCGGAATATAATATATTTCCTGAATGCAAATCTCTATGAATAGAACGTTCTTGAAGAAGGCGTGAAACTGCTTCGATTAACCACTTTCTTTTTTTTAATATTATATTTTGAAGACTTGCATGATAATTCAATAATGTTGAAATGATAGAGGAATGAAGAGAAATAGCTCAAGGTTCGATTGAAATCATTATTTAAATGATCTTAATGCTTGTGCAACATTTCAATCAATCACTAATCACATTGAGGGAGGTGCTTGAGAACGCCCTTAGTCAATCAAAAAAAAAAATTATTTATATAGTACAATTTGAATAATTTTAGATAAAATATTAGCGAGATGACCAAGAAAAAATAGATGTGATTAAACCTAAATGTGAAGAATAAATAAAGAATAACCATATTAAAAGAACAAATCGGAAAATAAAAAATTAATCATTTTACGCATTTAACGATGTAATTTGAACTCAAAAAAAATAACAATGAAATGATTAAAAAAAAAAATGAAAACAAAACAAAAGCTTACCTACTTCTTCCGAAGTAATTAAACTCGAAAGTGATCCTTAAAATAGAAAAAATAAATGGAGCAGAAATATAATATCTTTGAAGTTATTTTAAAAAAAATAAATGATTGCGCCTAATGCTCCGTACCGATCGAATCGACCCTCGAGTCGGGACTATCATTATATGTCACGAGTCCTAATTTCTGAAAACCTTCGGGTTAGGGTCGCGATTTTGCTTGGCCCGGGTGACTCGAATTATCAGGTGATGAGAATAAATGATATAAATTTGAATGATATAAATGGTATGCATAAATTACGCGAAATAATTATTACAATAATGCTTTTCTTGGAAAACGAAAAGCATTGCGAAGTAATCTTTTTGCCAAAGAATTTTTAGAAGAGAATATTCTTCCACCTGAACATAAAAATTCAAAAACTCATCGAGAATTTAGATGACCTAACTGCTCGTATGTATTTTCAATAGTGTATAATGATGTATGTTACATATTATTATTTTTTTTTTATAAAATTTTATAGAAAATAACATGGCTGTGCAAGATTGGTGATACAAATACAACAAATCTTTGGTATTATTTAGAAATGTCATCATTAATAAAAATGAAAATATTAAAATAAAGCAATGAGTGTTCCTGTGGTGAATGAGTTTAGTTTGGTCATGTATTTGAATTCCTGGTGGCAATAATTCGAATTATTGTACAACCCAAGACACTCTTTTCATTATCTGAATTAATAAATTATTTTTTTACTTCGGTATTAATATTACCCTTAAAATTCGAGTCGAATCCGAGTTCAAAAATAATCGGTTCGGATTAATCAATAATCGGGTCGAGTCGAATTCGGGTCCTGTAAATAATAACGGGTTTGAGTTCGAGTTTGCTTTAAACCCGACCCGACCCGACCCTTACGGAGCACTAATCTTGAGATTGGTAAGATTAAAACTTTATATTTAATTTTCGAAATTAAGCTCAATCACGTTTTTTGTGAAACCAGATTACCTCAATCGTATTTTGAGAGTACCATTGAGTGTACTTTAAAAGTTCTACTTTAAGCTTCTGACAATAATTTTTATTAAGTTAACCTAGTCCACGTTACATTGATTACAAGCGGGCTAATAAAAAAAAATAATAAAAATATTTCCTCCTTTGCTAAGTTCTATGTGGCAATTGTTTCTTAAGACAAAAGTAATGTCGAACAATTACAAAATATTTATGAAATAAAAAAGTAGAATTATTTTAGAATCTATTAGATCACGATTGTTTCTCAATTTTTTCTAAGGTTCGATTTTCAGATTCTATAAATCGATTCTAAAAGTGATTTGATCATAATTTGAACGCAAATATTCACCAAAAAAAAAAATTTCATTGCTTAAAAATTTATTTATCAAATAAAAAAAACATTTGAAATTTTCACATTCATCTTATGATAACATACTTCAAATGTATATAATATTAATATATTCAAATTAGGCTAGAAAAATTCTTTTACGCCATTTTATATATTACATGTACTATTCGTATAATACTTTAAAAATTTCACAATAAAAATTTTTTAATTTTGGAAAATTCGATACTAGAATATTAAAAAATAAACTTAACCGGTCCTAAATTTGGATTTTTTTTTCACATTATAGTTCATAAACTATCGATTATTTAGGTTTTTTATTATTTTTATTTTTTTTATCTTATTCGTTACGCTATTATTTTTCCTCAATTCATACAAAAAAATTGCTAATATAGCGAGTGTTTTGAATTACGCCTAAGATCTTCTTATAGCAATTATTAATGCGTCAGTGTGCTGTATATAGATTTAATTTTTTCAGTGAATTAAACTATTTGTAATAGGCTTTAAGAGAAATATCAAATTCTTTTATTCAGAAAATCGCTACAACGTAATCAGTTATAACTTGATTCTAAAAGCAACGATATAATAATTTCTTAAATTCATAAATTGAGCACAACTATAGTAACAGTAAAAACAATCGATTCATATTCATTGAAATTACAACGAATTTAAACAAACTTTATTTAACAACAAGATTAAGAAGCTTAATAAAAATTAATTATTTTCATCCAAATAAACTTTTAGATTTGCCTTAAGTTTTATTTGTTTTATTTATAACATAATATTAAATGTATGAATAGTTTTAAATTATTAAACTATATACAATACAGTAAGTAAAATGTATTTCTTAAATAAATAAATAATATTAACAAACTTCTTAAATATATACCTTGATTATTAAAAAAAAAATTAATTCAATTATTTTTTAATGTATAATTTATCTTTAAACCGTTTCTTGGTTCAGGTAAATCTATATAAATATGTACTTTGCTTTGCTAAAATTCTAGCTAAAAAGCGAGAGTTTGTTATTAATTTTGCATCATTAGTATTTATAATACTAAAAATATTATTCATTTTATTAAAAAAATATTTAATATCTTTTTAAATTTGTTATAAAGAATTTAACATTGAAAATAATTTGAAAATTCATTGTTCCATTCTTTCTTTATATTCTAATGGAGTTTTTGATACAATTATTGGTCTCATTCCATTTAATATATTCATTGCTGCTCATAAATAATTATTAAAATTGGCAAAGGTTGTTGTCGAAATGTAATTCCCACATATCAATACTATATATTTAGTATTTTCTTTTCAATATAAAAACTTCTGGTATGTAAGGAAGTATGCGTATATACTTTTTAATAATTTTACAATCTATAGACTTTCTTTTAAACGATATATAATTAAATAATGGAATCTTTGATGTTATTACATTTCTCCATAAATTCAACAGTAACTTCGCGCCAGACACGATTAACGAGTAAGCTTGAACATAAATTCTTGATTTATTTCAAATATTCAAAACAATCAATTAAACAGTCAGATAGTAGTTGACGAGCATTTTAAAAAACTATAAAAATTTTTTTTAAAAAAAAAGTTACATCGCATGTAATATTTACTCAACAGTTAATTTCTTAATAATTGGCTAATCAAATATTAATAAAATAAAATAAAATAATTGAAGACATTTAGGCCATAAAGATCTTAAAATATTTTGGAATAAAATAAATTTTAATAATTTCTAGAATTACTGCATGTCTCTTATTTCAATGAACTAATTATATGGGTGGTATGCTATTAAAATTGAGGTACGAGACATTAATAAATCATATGATCCGTACTCAATTTTAATAGCACTCCACTCTCCACCCATATCGTAATTCCAAAAGGTTCGAACGCAAAAGAATTGAGAGAAAAAAATTACTGCTAAATGGTAATACCAAAGATGAAATGAAGCAAATAAGGTATGGTATCTATTTTTCCATATTGTCAATTTGTGAAAATGAAAATTTTTTTAATTTCAAATGAATTTTATTTTGATTGTCCATTGTCCACGTTAAATTTAAAATCAAAAATAGAATTGGCATAAATAAAATCGAATAATCAAAGCTGAAAAACTAAATCTTCGAACCAAGAGAAATTCAATTGCAATCCCAATATTTATACTAATTTCATTAATCAGAATTATTGACGAATTATGTATACGAATGAATAAAGATAATAGTCCTTTATAATCAATTATCTCACAAGAACTTATGATCAACGAAAACGAGATCTACTTTAAAATCGGATAAAACAATAACTTAAATCTTTTGTTAGAAACGCAGTCATTCTTCTTTAAATTTATCAGGTTCACGATAAAAGAAATTATTTTCACCCTTTTGATTTATTTTTATTTAAGGATTTCTATCGATTAGAATCACTTCGGAAGCAGTAGTATTGTATTTTTCTGTTTTGTTACGATTTTTATGGCGATCAATTTTTATTTTTCATTCTACACTTTTGGATTTGCTAGCTTTGTGATCATTTTGTTATTGTTTTTCACAAATCTAATTAATGTACAATTTTTTTTATTAAAGTCCCACATACTGCGCACTAAGAAAAGTCGTATTTTTTCGATTTGGTAGAGATTTCAATCAGTACATTAGAAATCAATATAAATATATCTCTAAAAGTGCTAATATAAAAGGCTATTTATACAAAAATATTTATGATATAATAAACATGTTAATTTAATAAAACAATTGAACCAAATTTAAAGTATCATGATCGCTTCTCTTAGTCTAATAAATCATTGCTCCTCAATAATCAGATTATTGGTAGAAAAATACACGAATGCACCACCCGCAACATCAATCCCTGATTTCTGCAATGCAATGCAAATAATGTAGAACTAGATGTACATTGTCAATCAAATTCTATTTGAAATACAAAATGGTGTTAAATTGAATAATTATTTTCTATTCATAGCATTATGTTCTCCATTCGCAGGGAAATAGTTAATGATGCATATGATAGAGCATTTGTATTAAATAATAACAATGACTTAGAAATAGACGAATGGAATGAACTCAGAAAAAAAACAATTTACGCTGAAAAATATCTCACAGACGAAGAAAAATCAGAGGCTATACGATTATTAAATGTAGAATATGAATTTAACAAGATTATCAATAATCAAGGAATGAAAAGAGTTTGAAAAAATTGCAAACAAGAATATTTTGCAATAACATATTGCGAACATTGTATTCGAAATTATTTAAAATTAAAATTTTCAGAATGGACATCTGGAAATATTGAAATTGATAATTTAATAAAGAAATTTCAGATGGAATCTGTTCTTCCTTATAGAATAGTTGAATGGATCCCATTCGATAAATTGCAAAATATCAAATATTTAACTAAAGGGGAATGTTCAGAAATATATACGGCAGATTGGATTGATGGACATTATGACAAATGGGATTGTATCAAAAAACAATTAATAAGATATGGAAGACAAGAAATTATACTTAAAAGGTTAGAAAATGTCGAAAGTGCTAATAGAAGTTGGTTTGAAGAGGTATGTAATTATTTTAAATGTATTAATAATTGTTGGTTTTTATATATATATATAAAAAAAGAAAGGAAACTTATTAATCAAATTTTAATTAATAGGCTGAATCTCAATTAAGATTAAGCAGCAAATGGGCAAGTTTCGCTCCATCTTATGGTCTTACTCAAGATCCACAAAATAAAGATTATTTTCTTATAATGTTATTATTCAAAACAGATTTAAGAAAATATTTACAACAAAATCATAACCTACTTACATGAAAACAAAGAATCAACATAATTGAAAACATAATCGATACAGTTTCAACCCTTCATTATGATAACTCTATTCATAGAGATTTGCATTCAGGAAATATATTATATTCTGAATATACTGGCAATTGGTATATTAGTGATTTTGGATTTTGTGGACCTGCTGATAAACCATTAGAAAGTATATATGGAAATCTTCCTTAT